CAGCTAGCAGCATAAGAATGAACCACATTTGATTCTGAACCCAAATATCGAACCAAATCTGGGAACAATTGAAATGCAACAGGTTTTTGTATCTGACCACGAAACATGGTGAAAAATTTAAGAGCACCTGCCTTGAGCATGGGAAACCCATTCACATCTTGGCTTTGCAACTCAGGGACAATAACCGATGTAAAGAAGGTCTGAACATCCACAAGATCAGTTGAGACATTAGTACCCCCAGCCTTCTTGGTTGCGAGCGAAACAACTAAATATATCGCACAATCCTTGTTCTTCCAATTGGCAGAAGGGTTTGTAGCAAACGAGCTCAGCAAATTTTGTATCTGAATTGAAACAATATCAGTCACCTGCTTTTTGTAATGAGTTGCAATTCCCTTAAGGAGTTCACAAGCAATCCTTCTTCTAGTATCAAGATCACTCCCCTCCATATCCCTCCTTATAAACTCAACATAATTCATCTCAAAAAGCTCCTCATCCTCATCTCTCAACTGCACATTTGGAATCACAATACTCTGACAAATCTGCGGTATCACTCCCTCATTTGCAAACAAAGTATGATGCACACTTGTACTAACCGTTGTTAAAAACTTCATTGCTGTAACAGCCAGTTTGTCACGGCTTGAAGACTGAGACACATTCGTAAGCAAACTCCAAACAGCGGATGCAAAATCATTTAAATATCCTTGAAACTCCTCCTCATTCTTTTCCATGTAAAGACTAATATTTTCACATACTGCAGCCCTAAGTTCATCGACCAATGCTAGCTCATTTGCACTGCTGTCAAGTGAAGGGTAACTCGTTGTCAAATACTTTTTAAACTCACCCATCCACTCTCTCATATGATCCTCAAAGAATTCAGGCAATTCTTGAAAGTTCAATGAATAGAATATCCTACAACATAACCTCTGAGATTCAAAGAGCGGCCGGAGGGTCACAGGGGAACCACCACCGGCAGAAGCAACAGTTGAGTCAATCAAGGAAGCAGTTTTAAGAAAAATCTCTAATAATGGAGCCGCGAAATTATCCAAACAATACTTCAAATCAAGTAAAAGATCGTTTGTTTTATACTGATACCTAAATTTCTTAAAAATTGAATTAGCAGTTCCGAGAATACCGTTAATGGAAGCGTAGTCTGCAGATTGGGCAGCCTTTTGAAGATTGGAGATAAGCTCTGGAAGTAAAGTCGGCCATGATTTGGGGAAGTCGTGCTTCCCAATAACAGCTAGGGCTTCGCTGAGCTGGCTTTGAATGCGAGGGGAAGAAGATAGCATGAGTGAGACGATTAGGGTTTTGATCTGGTCCTTCTCAGGGTGAAGGATCGGGGAAAACGTGGGACCGGCGTTGGGATCGTTAGAGGGAGCCCAACGGGTTCGGAGGTGGTTCTTGAAGTTAACAGCTGCAGCTTGACGGATCTGCTCATCAACGGAAGGCTCCGCCAAAAGACGGAGCACGGCGAGTCCGTAGTTTGGACGATCGGCGGCTTCAGATAGGGAGGACTCGGCGGCGCGTCGAGGTTCCGGTTGGGGAGAGAGTGTGTGGAGAAAGCATTGCGAGAGGAATTGAAGGGTTTCGGGATTCCACTCCATTATCAAATTAAAAAACGAGTAATTCGGGAGCGGCAAAGTATAAAAGCAGTTCCAACAATGAGGTTTCTAGAAGTTTCGACAGAGAATTCTAGGGTTTAGGAACACGAGAGAAAAAGGACCACAGATGGAGTTTACCAGAGAGTGTGTCAGCAAGACCGGGGAAACGAGCGTGAGGGTTAACTTAAGAGGGAAATTTTGGTGATTTTAAAGAGGGAAAAGGAGGGACTGTGGACGGTAATTATGGTCTACGGAAGTTTATGGATGAAAATTAGCGTACATAGGTTGATGAATTGGGCTTTTAAAAGCCCAAACTGTCCAAGGCCTCAATCTTAAAAGTTGTTTCAACTATCTAAACAAAAAGGAAATATCTCTTTCACCAATTTATTTTATTAATTACATCAGAAATATACCTATATTAATATTAGTAGGTTCAATTACACCACAAAATGAAATTAAAAAAATAAATCTATGTTATGGAATATGGACATATCACATCATATTTAGACCAATTCAAATTAGAATGTATTTGATAACTGATAAATATATTATTCACGTTTTAAATATTTCAAGATTCATCTACATGTGAATATTATCAAAGCCATAATGTAAGAAGATAATGTAATTTAGAGATATAGCTTAGTAGGAGATTGTGATAACCATTGATTAGCTTTAACTATAAATAAGGAGTCACCCCATCCTAATGTTGTATCACAATTATTTTTCATTTTAAGCATGACTTCAATAATACATAAATAGCATTCTCTCAATATATCTCTTTTCTTCTTGTTTTTATTATTTCTTTTATAACAAGTTATTAGCATGATCACTAAAGGATAAGGTAATTTTTTTTGTTCTTCATCAACCAATTAAATTTTGATTTTGTGTACCATCTAATCCACCTGAAGGCAACAATGGACTTAAAGCATTCCTCCAACCCTTGAAGCAATGATGGGCCTTCGAGAACCTTTATAATTGTCATAATTAATTTATGGGTCTATTTTTCTATGCATAGAATTATGGAAAATATTGAAAAGCTTAAGTTCCACACACTGAAAGTGAGTGAAAGTAGTTGTCTGTACTGGTGTTTTGATGTAGAGATGTATCTCCAAAGGTAAAGTCTTACTAATGCGATTATTATAGACTGGAAAACAAACCACAAAGATAAGGCGAATGCACTGATCTTCATTAGTTGTCATTTGCCTGAAGACCCAACATTTATTCGTTCGAGACCCTAAGATCCTATGGACGAGATTGAAAGAGAGGTATGATCATACCAAGGCAGTTATCTTCCATTGAGCACAGTATGACTGGCAACATCTCAAGCTATAAGACTTCAAATCAATGTTTGATTACAACTCAACCTTATTTGATATTGTTTCTTGACCGGAGTTATGCGGTGTTAAGCTCACTAAATCAAAGTTATTAGAGAAAACTTTTTTCACCTTTCATGCTTCAAATATTGTATTACAACAACAATACCAACAATGTCAATTTAAGATGTACTCGGAGTTGATTTTTGTCCTTCTAATTGTAAAGCAAATTAATGAACTGTTGCTTAAAAACCATGATCTTAGACTTGTTAGCTTAAAAGCATTACCTGAAGCAAATGTAAGCTCTAGTAAAAGTATAAGTCGATTTAAGGGCCGTGAACACAGGCAAAGGCATAACCCACATAGGGGTGGTAAAAGATTTAATCTGCCTAGACAATTTAACCTTGGCTCAAATCATGGCAAGGGCAAGAAGCCCGTGAATAAGCATGATGACAGTATCTACCATTGCTATGGCATGGTTAGACACTGGTCAAGTACTTGTCATGCATCGAGGCACTTTGCTAATCTATACCAAGCATCTTGAAGGATAAGGGCAAGCATGTTGAGACTCACTTCATTGAAAATTCTACTGTTATGACCAACATTGAAGTTAACAATGCCTCTATTAAGATAACTCCCCTTGTTCCTGTAGAAGCAAGAACATTAAAAGACAACCCAGACTTAGGATAAGGCCTAAGCAGGATAAGGCATTAGAATGATGGAGGGTAGCTAGGACTTAAGATCTAAGGATCTTAATGTTTTTCTCGTTTTTTTCTTTTTCTGAATGTATTACTCTTGGTTAATTATTTCTAAGGAAGAACAATATGGTCATTTGATAAAATTATTATGAAATTGATTCCATAATTATTATTTAAAAATTTCAATCCCATGATTAATTTACAAATTTTATAAAACCTGACACCTGAAGTTGTTAATACAAATGCAAATGGGAATCAATGAGAAAAAAGAAGATGTCGTTTTACTTGATAATTCACTGTCACATACCATATTTTGTAACAAGCACTTTTTCTCGAGTGTGACATTGCGTAAGGTAAATTTTCATGCAATGTCAAGTCCCATTGAGATTATTGATAGCTCCAGGAATGCTACAATTGTTCTGTCAAATGGCACCACCTTACATATCGAGGATGCATTGCCAAGTAGTAGATTGAAGAAGAATCTACTAGATTTCAAAGATGTACGCCGTAATGGATACCATTTTGAGACAATTTGTAAGTAAAATAAAGAATGTATCTACATCATCTATTCTAAGATGGGCTAGAAAACCATTCGCGAGAAGCTGTAAGCCTCAACTATAGCATTATGTTGTCTCACTATTAAAGTTGTTAAATTCTATGCTACCATGTCTTAGAGACTGGTAAATCTCGATGAGTTTAGACTTTGGTGTGATCGCCTAGGTCACTTAGGAGCTGTGATGATGCGTAAGATAATCCAAAATATGAGAAGACACCTTGTAAAGTATAAAAAGGTTTTGTTGTTTAAGGATTACACTTGTGAAACTTGTTCACAAGGAAAGCTCATTACTAAACCTTCTATGAAAAAGGTTGATCTTGAATCCCCTCCATTCTTGCAAAGAATTTAAGGTGATATTTGTGGATTAATACAACTAGCAAGTTGGTCATTTCAATATTTTATGGTATTAATGGACGCATCTTGCAGATGGTCCCATGTTTACCTATTGTCTACATGCAACATTGCCTTTGCACTTTTTCTTGCAAAGATTATAAAGCTCTAGGCACATTTTCTTAATTATCCAATCAATAGCATAAGGATAGATAATACTAGTGAATTTACATTAAAGAGCTTTGATACATATTATGCTTCATTAGGAATTAAGGCTGAGCACTTGGTTCTACATATTCATACTCAAAACGAATTGGCAAAATCCCTGTTTAAATGTATTCATATTATCTCTCATACTCTTTTATTAAGGACAAAGCTCAGCTATTCAATGTGGGATCATTTTGTTTTGTATGCAATGACACTAATTAGATTGTGTCCCATCACTAGCTTCTTACAATCTCCCATGCAACTGGTTCTAGGGTATGAACCAGACATTTCATATTTACGCACCTTTAGTTGCGTTATATAGGTGCTTGTAACACCACCAAAAAAGACTAAAATAGGTTTCTAATACCATTTGGCATTTACGTTGGGTTTGATTCACCATCCATTTTTAGATTCTTAAAAGCAACGATGAGTAATCTTTTTACTTCCAGATTCATGAATAGTAATTTCAATGAGATAGTGTTTCCATCAATTGGGATACCTGAGGCTTCAATGGCTAAAAAGCAAAAACCAATTGAGAATTTCTCTTAAAATGAGAAAAATTTATCCCATTTAGATCTAAAAACTCCTGAATGTAAAAACGAGGTGCAACATATAATCCACTCATAGGTTATTGCCAATAAACTTTTTGACACATTTAATGATACTACCAAGGTTATGATGTCTCATGTTCCCGCTATGAATGCTCTAGCTATGATTGTTGCTCTTAAAGAATAGCTAAAATGGATCAAAATGCCCACGGTTGAAGCGTGGAAGACAAATAGGATCAAAAGACACTATCTTTCAAAAACTAAGGGGGAAGAATAAAGAATCTACTCTAGATGAACATGGTATTCAACTTCATCAAGAAAGCTTATTGTCCTTGAAAAGACACAAACCCATGAAAAGATCAACGACCTCGAGAATACTAAGCTCTTTGTTACATATTGTAATGAGATTTGAGATTGGAATGAGATAATCATGGATGATGTTTTTGCACTCTTAATTGCTCATGAGATTATGAACAATGATTATGAGCTGTGAACTATTATCAAATGTCGTTAAAGGCAAGATTAGCCTAAATAGGAGGAAGTAATCTAGGTAAATTGACTTTCCTAGCTAAATAAGAGGTTTTCAGACCTGTAGCTTAAACCCCTGACAATGTGAAGCCTATTAGATATAAGTGGGCATTTGTCCAAAAACAGAATGAGAAAAATGAGGTCGTGAGGTATAAAGCCCTACTTGTAACTTAAGGCTTCTCTCAAAAACTTAGAATTGATTATGATGAGATATATTCATCTGTGATGGATACGATTAGCTTTCGTTTCCTTATTATCCTAGCTATTTTTGAAAAATTAGAAATGCATCTTATAGACGTCGTGATGGCATACCTATATAGTTCATTAGACTTTAATATTTATATGAAAATTCTCTAGTCAAAATGCCTAAAGCTTACACTTCCCACAACTTATTCTTAATAAAATTACAAAGATATTTATACTAGTTGAAATAATCTAGTTGAATGTGGTATCAATGCTTAGGTGAGTACCTAATTAAGGAAGGGTATAATAATGATCTTATCTACTCATGTGCGTTTATTAAGAAATCGGAAACCGAATTTACTATGGTAGCAATTTATGTTGAAAATATGAATTTGATTGGAACTATAAAACAATTATCTAAAACTACTGAATATTTGAAAAAGAAGTTTGAAATTAAAGATTTGAGTAAAACCAAATTTTATTTTGGTCTAAAGCTTAAGTACAAAGCAAATAAAATACTTGTTCATCAATCAGCATACATTGAAAAAATGTTTAAACGTTTTAACATGGGCAAAGCTCATCTATTGAACATTCTTATGGTTGTGAGGTGTCTTGATCCCTAAAAGGACCTGTTTTGTCCTAGAAAACCTAATGAGAAGATACTTGATCTTGAAGTATCCTATCTTAATGCAATTTGAGCTTTGATGTATTTGGCACCTGGAGACATTGGAATAAGATAAAACATATCTTCCATTATCTCCGAAGAATTGTTTATTTGGGATTGTATCATTCCAAAGATTTCACTAACTTTGGTTTAATTAGATAAGC